AACCCCAAAAAACTGAGTGTGGAGCACATCAAAAGCAGACTATGACTAGTTTTCAACCCTGTTCACCTTTGTAAGTCAGAGCAGCCCATGGTCTTTGCCCAGCACTGAGGCCTCTGGTACTTTAGACAACAGATGTGTGTCTCTTTTCCTTCTTGATTTCTGTTCTTAAAACTTCCTTGAAAATGAAGGAAATGAAACCACAGAACACTGTGCTTAAGTGACAGGAGGGACCTGACTTATACCAAAAAAGAAACAAAATTCAGAGTGATGGCAATAAAACAAACAACCCCCCTTCCCCACAACTTAGACACATGCTCTGGCTTAAGCCCATTGGCAGGAGTTGTGACAGACCCAGAGTACAATCCAGACCAGTGAGCAGCTGTGTCACCCCTGCCCTGCAATCTTGGATGCCTTACAGTGCTCCCACCTGGGCCGTTCACAAACATCTTGCCAGCATGCAAGTGTAACACCGACAGACCCCGGTTGTCGGCGGGCAGGATCAAACCTGGGATCTCTGGAGCTAAATGCATGAGCCTTTATTGCATGAGCTAAAAGCCAAAGGCCTAGTAGCTAAGGTTGTAGAGAAGACGCATTAATCTCTCTTTCTAAGCGGTCTCGGTGCCAGTAGATGGGACAGAACACCACACCCAGGAGGTGTGTGGATTACATACTTCCCCTAGCTGAGGAAGTGTGTCCCAAGCTTCAGCAACTTCCCAGTTGAAATCCCTGACGAGCCACCACTTATAACACCTACAGACTCCGGTTGTTGGGATTGAACCTGGGACCTTTGGAGCTAAATGCATGAGCCTCTACTGCATGAGCTAAAAGCCATATGCCTAATAGCTAAGGTTGTAGACTCATTAATCTCTCTCTCTAAGTGGTCTTAGTGCCACTAGATGGGACAGAACACCACACCCAGGGGGTGTGTGGGTTATACAAGCCACCCACTGAATGTCTCTGTGTAACTGTAGCCTGACAGCTGCACCCTGGCTCTCACCAGCCTGGGTTACACTTCAGGGTGACCCCAACACATCCCCAGTCTTAGCTTTCCCTGCAAAGATGTATGTCCTATACTGCCCGGTCTTCTCCTGGACATATAGGTTATATTAGATCTGTTATTTCTCTAAAAGGAATCATAGAATCATAGAAGATTAGGGTTGGAAGAGACCTAAGGAGGTCATCTAGTCCAACTCCCTGCTGAAAACAGGACCAACACCAACTAAATCATCCCAGCCAGGGCTTTGTCAAGCCAGGCCTTAAAAACCTCTAAGGATGGAGATGGTCCCCAGCCTGTAGCGGTGCATGGGATTCTTCCATCCTAAGTGCAGGACTCTGCACTTGTCCTTGTTGAACCTCATCAGATTTCTTTTGGCCCAATCCTCCAATTTGTCTAGGTCACTCTGGACCCTATCCCTACCCTCCAGCATATCTACCTCTGCCCCCAGCTTAGTGTTATCTGTGAACCTGCTGAGGGTGCAATCCATCCCATCATCCAGATCATTAATAAAAATGTTGAACAAAATCAGCCCCAGGACTGACCCCTGGGGCACGCCACTTGATACTGGCTGCAAACTAGACATCGAGCCATTGATCACTATCTGTTGAGCCCAACAATCTAGCCAGCTTTCTATCCACCTTATAGTCCATTCATCCAATCCATACTTTTTAAACTTGCTGGCAACAATACTGTGGGAGAATGTATCAAAAGCTTTGCTAAAGTCAAGATATATCATGTCCACTGCTTTCCCCATACCCACAGAGCCTGTTACCTCGTCATAGAAGGCAATCAGGTTGGTCAGGCATGACTTGCCCTTGGTGAATCCATGTTGACTGTTTCTGATCACCTTCCTTTCCTCTAAGTGCTTCAAAATGGTTTCCTTGAGGACCTGCTCCATGATTTTTTCAGGGACTGAGGTGAGGCTGACCGGTCTGTAGTTCCCAGGGTTCTCCTTCTTCCCTTTTTTAAAGATGGGCACCATATTTGCTTTTTTCCAATCATCCAATAAATATGCCAGTTTATTATTTCAAATAGTTATTTAGACACATCAATTTAAATACATTGGATTAGATACAACAGTAAAATTAGTTTATTAATTACAAAGAGAGATTTTAGTGAGTACAAGTAATGAGGCATAAAAATCAGAAATGATTACAAGAAAAATAAAGCTACAACACTTATTAGTGTCTAACTTAACAAACTGTGTTAAATTCAAAGCAGTTTTCTCATCACGTACTTTCAGCTGTCTCACTGACCAAACTTCTTAGGTCAGGACCCCTTCTCCCAGAGTCCGACAAATGCTGCCTTTGTCACTTCAGGTACAGTGAATGCCATGGGCAGAGGGGAGGGGTATTTGCCCCTTCTTAGTCCTGTCCCACTTTGAGGAGCATTTCCATCTGGGAACAAGGCAACAGGGAGTCTGCATGGAAGGGAACCTCCATGCTGTTTCTTTGTAAAGATGTAGATTTTTTGCCCTGCCTCCTTTCCTGCCAAAGAATGGCTGCTTAGCAGGTAATTGTCCATCAGCCTTGTTCACACCTGGTTGAGATGTCAGTTTGCCCTTTGTCTCTGAGGAACTGATTTGGCCACTCTGCAGACTTCTCTGGAAAACCTCCTTTTAGGCTATGTCTACACTAGCACTTTTGTCTGGCAGGGTGTGAAAAAAACACACACTCCCATCCGACATAAGCTTCAGCGACAAAAGTGCCGGTGTGGACAGCACTATGTCAGCTAGAGAGAGTCTACCAGCAACATAGCTACTGCAGCTCATTGAGGGTGGGCTAATTATGCAGACGGAAGAGCTCTCTCTTGCCAGAAGTAGAGCTGTGCTACTGTAAGGTGTGTAGTGTAGACATAGCCTTAGTCATGGTTTCTGCTTGCATTTATAACTCCATATATAATGCTGCTACATGCATTTTGCCATGATATTATTTATTAGCAAGTTATGAGTTTTTAAATACCTCACAAAACATGCCTCGTGCAAAAATTATTACAATGTGTGTAGAGTGTGAACACAGCAGTATATTCTGTCAAAGGACCTATTTATGGAAGAGGAGAGCAAGTGGGAAAGGGAGCAGTAAGGCTCATTTTCTTTCTCTGCTTTCTTATGTCCTAAACTGCTAGAGATTTGCTTTGTGCCTCATTGCAGTGTAGAACTACTTGATTGATTAAAAATCCATTGCAGAGAGTGTAGTTAATAAGTCTTCCATTTATGCTATGTGAGGAATGAATTGAAAATGGCCTTTACCACCACCACGTTGCATATGTTTATAGAATAACAGGGTTGGAAGGGACCTCAGGAGATCATCTAGTCCAACCCCCCTGTCAAAGCAGGACCAGTCTGCAATTTTTGCCCCAGATCCCTAAATGGCCCCCTCAAGGATTGAACTCACAACCCTGAGTTTAGCAGAGCAATGTTCAAACCACTGAGCTATCCCTCCCCCACTCTACGACAACATACATTACACCCCTTGCTACAGAATTCTGCTCCAGAATCTCCTTTTTTATTTTTAAAAAATTGTTTCTAACCCTAACTGTTGCAGAGAGCCTTAAAAAGATGAGCTGGCTGTAGCCACTGCAGTGCTGTCTTCCTGATTCTGCAGCCAGCCTGAAGCTAACTTTGAGAGTGTTGCAAACTTTCCCATTACCACACTAGTGTTGGCTCTGAAACCTAATGATGCCAAAGTAATGTGAGCACTGTTAATTTTTTCTGTACTGATTGTTTTTGCAGAAAGCACACAACTAATGTGCTTATCTCACAATCCCAAACTGCCTCCTCTGCCACTCCAATTTTCTTTATCGTGTGGCCCAATCCCCCATCACTCCCAATGACAATAATGTTTCATTGCATGGCAAAAGTTAATACAAAGCTCTGTAGAACACTGAAAATTTAAAATGTGAGGATGGCTTAAAATAAATAGAATTTAATATCAAAGAAAGTAACATGGGGGATGCTGCACTCTTGGTATTAGTATTTTTGTACTGAATTCCATAAAAATTTCCATTTTTAATATTTAAATGAAGCTGCCCCAGAATTTCCAGCTGCCATGCTCAATGCTATAGAAACCTGGGTCCTTGGGGGCAGAATTTTGGTCCAGCTTGCTACAGAGTACATGGAATCTTTTTTATAACAGAATTCCTAAGACTTGCTTTTAGAACTCCTTAAATGAGGCTCTGAGCTGGCCCATTGACCTGGTGTGACATGACCATGCAGGAGATGCAGATTTGATTCCAGGTCCTGATCTTTTGCTCCCAAGCTCAAGGGCTAGGACTGTTAGAGGCCTGGTTCATATCCTGTTGGAATTAATGGAAAAAGATTCCCTTTGAGTTCCCTTTGACAGTGGGAGTTGGATTGGGTCCTTTGTTCCCCATAGTTTGATAATGGAGTTAGCCTGCCTGAGGAGCGGTATTGATTGGCTCTGCAGAGAATATTCCTCAGCCAGAATGATGGTCATCACAACATTAAGAGGAAGGTTACACTGGAATCAGGGAGAGGGGGTAACCTCTGAGCACTGCAGAATATGGGACTGTTGTGTGTCATTCTGTATATAGCCTGCAGGTTCTTGTAGTGGGAGAGCTTTCAAATGGGCTCCAGTTTGTCTGATCAGACTGAAACTGTGATGTCTTTGCTCCCTTGTCCAAACAGAGAAGCCCTGATACAAATGTCATAGTAGACCACTCATACAGACCAGAGCAGACCACTCATACAGTCTGTCCCCAGAAGAGGTCCCAGAGCAATTAACTTGAGTTCAGCTAATGGTTTCATAGCCTGGACCTGGGCTAGTTCCTTCCCTTCCCTTCCCTCTCCTCTCCTCCCCTCCCCCTTGCTCCTGGTTCCTTCTTGTTTTTAATTGACTTGCATGTGCATGACCCTTGAGTAAGTGCTGATATCACGAAGCAGAGTGGCTTGCAGCTAACTCTGCAATCCATGTGACTGCAGTTTCCGTTAGTTCCTTCCGCAAGATCTAAATTAACCTGATGCTAAGTGAGAGGAAGAAAAAAAAAAAGGCTGCAGCTAACATTGCCTTTTGTGAAGCAGCTGAGAGAGAGCAGGAGGGCGGCTGTGTGCAGCATGAGTGCCCGCGATCTGTGCATGCTGCCCCGAGCGGTGAGTAACCCCCAAAACTGGGCTCTGCACTTCACCCTGTCCAAGATAAAGTTCAGGGATGGGCGCAGAGGAGGGCAATGGAGAGAAACTCCCAGGTGGATGGTCGATTATTATGACAGCCATGGCACCCATGGTTTACTCTGTGTGTGTACATCTGAGCACTGGGAGTGTGGAGCGTTACCAAGCATTGAATGCCTCGATGTGCTTCATGCATGCAGAAAACTCCTTCTCTAGAGCAGTGTCCTCCCCTCCCTGCTCTGTGGTGATCAGGGCTGTGCCACCGTCGGGAAGGCAATGCCCTCAAGTTCGCTGTCTCTCATGGTCTCCCTTTGGAACGCTCACCACCTGTGTTTGGAGGATGCTGCACAAGCCACACTTTGGTCCGCATCCCAACAGGGCAAGCTGGGAGAAAGATGGAGGGAGGGGGGCTGTCACTGGAGGGAAGACAGTTAATGATGGGCAGACAGAGCTTCGGAGAGAACAAACAAGTCAGCTGTGGGAGAGAGGCTGGGTCAGAAAAGAGAGAACCTCCTGAAAAGGGAAAGAGTTTGAGGTTAACATGCATTGAAACGTTTAATAAAGGTGAAATATGATAGAAAAATCAGTGTGAAGAAAACAAGGACGCTGGAAAAGGCTGAAATAAAGATACACCAAGGTTGATCTGTTTTAAGTTTCAGTACTGCATCTGTTCCGGTGGTATCTCGGCACTGCTCAAGGCATGGAGGGCCAGATCCTCAATTGCTGCAAATGGCTTCAGTGGAGCTATACTGAGCTACACCAGCTGAGGATCTGTCCCAGAGGAAATATAGAAAAAAGAGGGGGGAACCCCCAGGGAGACGCAGTAAGCGATCTCTTTGAATCTGTGATTTAGTGGTGGTTTGGCTGGTGGTAAAAACAAAAATAAAAAAATCTGAAAATTGCCCCAGGTGTGTCTAAGACTTTAGATCTAGCCCAGGCGTGGGCAAACTTTTTGGCCTGAGGGCTACGTCGAGGTTGCAAAACTGTGTGGAGGGCCGGGTAGGAAAGGCTGTGCCTCCCCAAACAGCCTGGCCCCCACCCCCTATCTGCCCTCTCCCACTTCCCGCCCCCTGACTGCCCCCCTCAGAACTCCTGACCCGTGCAACCCCCCCTGCTCGTCCCGTGACCGCCCCCTCCTGGGACCCTCTGCCCCTAACCGCCCCCCAGGACCCCACCCCCTATCCAACCCCCCCTGCTCCCTGTCCCCTGACTGCCCCGACCCCTATCAGGCCCCCCCAGGACTTCCATGCCTATCCAACCGCTCTCTTGCCATGCTGCTCAGAGCAGCAGGAGCTCGCAGCCCCACCGCCCAGCCGGAGCAGCCCTGCCACTGCACTGCCTGGCAGGAGCGGAGGGCCAGAGCGCGGGCAGCACAGCGAGCTAAAGCTGCAGGGGAGGGGGACAGCAGGGGAGGGGCCGGGGACTAGCCTCCCAGGCCAGGAGTTCAAGGACCAGGCAGGACAGTCCTGCAGGCCGGATGTGGCCCGCAGGCCATAGTTTGCCCACCTCTGATCTAGCCACTTCAGCTGCCAGAAAGACTCTTCCATTTCTTTAGTTCACAGGTTTGAAAACACTGCTCATAGAGTGCGAATTGTGAGTAGAACAATCAAGGTCTCCTGGCATGTTTGCCTTAGGTTTATCATTCTCCTGCATGCAAATGTTATAAACTCTGATGCCATGAATTGCCATTATTATCTGATTTCACTTGATTGAAAAGCAGCAAGTTCCATTGATCTCCATCACTGGAACCTTAATTAAGGACTGGATCTTCAGGGGAGTTCTGGGCTTGGTTTCTGTTGGAGTTGTGCGTCCTCAGCATGGCTAAAAATCAAGCCCCTTCTTTGCTAGTAAGACACGTAAAGAGAACATTTGATGCCTGGGATTTTGAAACTTATAATATAGAGGGAAACTTCTTTATGAAACATGTCAGTTAATCAATGTGGGCAAATAGCTATTCAATTAGATGCTAATGTTCCTTTAAAAAGGATTTTCACATCCTAGCATCAAAATGTAGCAGATTTCTACACACTGTGTCTACTCCTCTATGAATTTGTGTTCTGTGTATTACCCCAGTGCCAGCTGCTCCAGCTGAGATCAGGGTCCCATTGTGCTTGATGCTGCACAGACACCCAGTGAGAAACTGTCCCTGATCCAAAGAGTTCAGCCTCAGATCCTCAAAGGCATTTAGGCTCCTTACTTCAGTTGATTTCAGTGGGAGTTAGGTGCCTAAATACTGTTGATTATCACGTTAATAGGTGTGATAGACAAAGGGTGGGAAAGGAAATAGAGTCACAGAGAGGTAAAATGTCTTGCCCAGGTCACAGGCCCTGAGTCCCAGTAGATTGCCCTAGCCACTGGGCCACACTGTCTCTCAGTGTAAATGGGTGTGAGGTTACCTCTCTATTAGCATTAGAGAGCCTCCTGAGTGGCTTAGATATTGGACTACTGAACCACAAAATTAACCTGCCCTGTTCTTACACCAGGGGTTGAACTGTGCAACAGAGACCATCTTGTTGCAATAAACCTCAGAGTAATTAATAAAGTTGGGACCAGAAGATGCCTCCAGTGCAGATTTTCCTGTATAGGACTCAAACTCCACTGGAACTGCACTGGGCACACTGGGGAAGGGGGGACAAAAGTGGCTTCACTCCCTAGCTGGAGCCTGGGGCAGAGTTTGCCGCCCAGAGGCATGTTATGCTGTTTTGTAATAGCCCTCTAGGAACTGTTAAGTCAACTGAGAGCCACTGATGCCCAGTAAGAAAAGGAGTACTTGTGGCACCTTAGAGACTAACCAATTTATTTGAGCATGAGCTTTCGTAAGGTTTGTTAGTCTCTAAGGTGCCAAAAGTACTCCTTTTCTTTTTGTGAATACAGACTAACACGGCTGCTAAACTGAAACCTGTCATGATGCCCAATGTGCTCCACCCACATCTCCAGTGTCATCCCTATGGCATGATGCAAAGGGTGCTCCAGTGGGGCATCAGTCCCACACGGTATAGCTAGGCCTGGTGGGGGCAGTGGATCCAACACCACAATGTGAGGAAAGTGCTGCCGAGAAAATGTTTAGAGCCCAAGTCTGATCTTGGGCTGACAAAGGATCTAAAATCCCTGTTCCGTGTAAGAAAGTTTGGGAGGCAGAGACTGTCTCGTCTTATGTTTCCTGGGAAATCCTTTGGTGTGCCAAAAAATAATCATGAATGAAGGGAAAAAAGCAGAGCAGATCTTTCAAATGTGTCTTATCTTTGGTTTCTCTCTTTGCAGGACTGTTGCTGTTGAGATGGAGTCAGTGTTTCTCAGTCTCTTCCTGAGTTTAGTCTTTATAGTAGCAGGATGGGGAAACAAGACTGGAATGGCCCTGGCAACGTATCACAGGACCTGCAAACTAGTGAGTCCTCTTATGCAAACCCGTGAACTTGTTAATTGTTCACGTCTCACTGCACACTGCCTTCGGAAAAGCAGGTGTATATTCTGAGTATGTACTCTAGAAGCACTGGCAGTGACTGCTCAGTGTAGGCTCTGTTCCATTGTTTTCATTCTAGCCTATGACTTTCACCATCAGGCTGCAGTTTTCCAGACTTGATCTCAGCCCAAAGTTGTTGGGTTTTCTTAAATGTGAGCAAAACCTGGTTTGCCATTTTTGAATATGAGGCAAGAGGCTTATTTGGTGCACAGTGAATGAAGCAGGGTGTCTCGTGGAGTTGATTGATAAAGTGGAATAGGGCATTGTAATGTAAATATTGCCATAGGAACAGCATTTATTCCCTTTTCTTTGAAACTAATAAAAATATAGAAATGAGGTGAGTGATGCCAAATGAAGAAGCTGCATAGGCTAGAGATTGTGATTCACAAATAGGAGGGGTGGCGGGAGTTTGGAAATACTGTGTGTACTCTCAAAAGTGGCCACTGATTTCTAGGTGCCTCAGTTTTTGGGTAACTTCTGGTATCTTGGGCCTGATTTTCAGAGGTGCTGAGCAGCTGCAGCTCCCTGTCTGGAAATGATGCTTATTTGCTGATCAGTGAAGTATGCTTGAGGCTATACGGCAAGCAGAGGAAGATGCCCCAGGAGCTTACATGCTAAGGGATAGATTTTCAAGTGCTCAACATCCACAGCTGAGGCCAGATCTGTAAAAGAGCTCAGCTGCACCCAACATACTGACCAATGTGCAGAGCTCTGCAGAAAATCTGACCACTTACTTAGGTGAATAGAACTGAAAATCTGGTCCTTATTGTGGGTACTGAGTCCTTCAGAGGATCTGGCCTGGCATGTGATAACAAACCAAATACAACGCTTCCCCTGCATTACTTTTGCCATTTCTTAGCCTTCCTCCTTTAGGCCAGTCTAGGTGATTTCAGTCCTTCTGTGCTGCTTCCTGCTGACAGAACTGGTTCTGCTTCAGGCAGCCAGCTTCTGTCTGATAAGAGGCACTGATTAGAACAGGGTGGATTTTCTCCAGTTTCTTTTTGGTTCTTTCCTCTTCTTGTCCTGTTTTCTCCTCTTTTTGTTTGTACTACATTAGTGCCTAGAGGTCCCAGATGAGACCAGGACATCATTGTGTTAGATCCTGTGCATACACAAAGTAAGAGACAGCCCCTTCCCCAAAGATTTTACAGTCTAAGTAGAGACGACAGGAGAGGAAATGCTGCTGTTCATGTTTTACAAATGAGGGGTTGAGGAAGGCATAGAGAGATTGTGTCTCACCCAAGGTCACACAGGGACTCTGGGACAGAACATGGAGCTGAACCCAGAATCTGAGTCCCAGTCCAGCGTCTTAATCAAAAGATCAAACTTCCTCTCCTCTGGTGCTCTGCACCCTTAATTTCTCCTCCTCTTCCTGCATCCCCGAACCCCCTTCTCTGCATCATTCCAAATCCCTCTTTCTTCTTGATTGGCTCTTTCCCACTTCTTGGTGGGGAGTCCCCTTTCTTTCTTCCTGGTCCCTCATTTGCTCTGTACTCTGTGATCCTCTTTTTCATCTGCTCAAGGATACTGCCTCCCCCTGCAATGCAATCTCTTGATCCACATCCACTGAGTGGGAGTTCTACTCTACTGCTCTACCAGGGCTCTGCTCCATGCTGCTGCTGCCCGTGGAGCCATGCAGGGTGCAAGTCAGCGACTCAGCCTCCAGGAGTGGCTGGTGCTATTCCAACAGGGTAGGCGGGCAGGGAGAATGTTGGAGCAGGGTCATGTCCTGCCCTGGTTTACTCCCATAGGCAGGCTCTGCTTTCCAGTGCATCCCAGAAGGGAGTCGTAAAGGGATATAGGGAACATAGTTGGTGAGCTGGAAAGCAGACCCTGGCTGTAACTTCAGAGTAGGCCAATCTGATCTTGTATGTCTTTTGAGGGGCAGTTATCGTCTTCCCCCAGCAGCCCACAGGCCTCACCATATCAGTGATTCAGGCAAAAATTACTGCTGCTACCATCTGATGTTTGTCGTCTGGAAGAGGCGGAGAGGTCAGGATGATGGCAGAAAATAAAGAATCAGATGTTGTGCACCCTCTCCTATCTGAACTCTAAGCCTTTGCCCCCAGTTTCACTATTTCCAGTGTTGTTTATATATAGATATAGATATATTTGTATTTCTTGTTTCAGGTGCACAGAGCTGTGGATTGCAATGGGAGATGGCAAGGCACAGTCCCAGCAGACCTCCCAGCTGACATAGAGATGCTTTCCCTGGATCACAACACTATACGGACCCTAAAGAATACCTCTCTGCTGCAATACCAAAACCTGGAGACACTGAGCCTGCGTGGGAACAGACTGGAACTCATTGAACCTGGGGCCTTCCTTGGCAGCAGAGACCTCAAAAATCTTTCCTTGGCAGACAACACCCTCTTTACAAACTACTCTGTGACAGCAGCTGCTCTTCACTCCTTACCAGCCTTGAGGAAACTGGACCTGTCTGGGAATCATCTCACTGAGGACATGGTGGCTACCATGCTCCGCAACCTGTCCTCCTTGGAGTCCTTGTCAATAGCCAGAAACATCATAATGCGCTTGGACTCCTCTGTCTTCGAAAGCCTGAGCCAGCTGCAGGAGCTGAACCTGGAGAAGAACTACATCTATGAGATCGAGGGGGGCACCTTTGAAGGCCTGCAGGGCCTGCAGATGCTTAATCTGGCCTACAACTACATTCCCTGCATCGTGGAGTTTGGTCTGACCCAGCTCAAGACACTTAATGCCAGCAACAACATAATCGAGTGGTTCCTGGCCATAGAGGGTGATGCTGTCTTTGAGCTGGAGACGCTAGATCTCTCCCACAACCGGCTCTTGTTCTTCCCGCTACTACCAAGACAGAGCAAATTGCGCTCCCTGCTGCTGAGGGACAATGAGATGAGCTTTTATCGCAAACTTCCCAATGCTACATCCCTCATGGATGTCACAGTGCAGTTCCTTCTCATAGAGGGCAATACCACTAATGTCACTACCCTCAATCTCTGGGAAGAGGTCAGCCTGAGCAATCTCTCTTCCTTGAGCTTTCTGGATATGAGCCAAAACCAGTTCTGGTACCTCCCTGATGGCTTCCTGGGAAGGATGACTTCTCTCTCCCACCTGAAGCTCAACCAGAATTGCTTAGAGACTCTTCACATCCAGGAGAGAGAACCACTGGGCATGCTCATGGACCTTGATCTCAGCCAGAATCAGCTCTCAGAACTGCAGGTGGACCTAGGTTCTGAAGGCACCCTGCCAAACCTTAGATCGTTTAATCTGAGTGCCAATAGGTTGCAGAGGGTGCCACCTAACATTTTCACCCACACAGAGATCACTACAGTTGACCTCAGTCACAATCACATAGACCTCTGTCCCCAGCAAGCTAATGCAGATGGGTCTGAGTATCCCATCTGCATAGACTTAAGGAATGTAACATCCCTTAGGAAACTTTACTTGGCTGGGTGTAGCCTGGAAATGTTGGCGAGCAATGCTTTCAGTGGGACATCACTAACACACTTAGATCTGTCTAACAATCAGAGAGCACTGGCTAGGGGCCTGCAACCTCTACAAGATATTGCACTAATGCTGCAGGTTTTATCTCTCAGGAACACTGGCCTCTCTTCCACCATGGAAGACATTGACTTCTCTGGCTTTCAGAACTTGGTAAGTTTGGACCTCTCAGGAAACTCCCTGACCAGCTTTCCGGAGTCCTTGAGTGGTCTGAAACTGCATACCCTGGATCTCCGGAGAAACCATCTTCCCTCTCTTCCACAGCACTCAATGCAGATGCAACTTGGGAGGAGTCTGAGTGTGCTCTACCTCAGCCAGAACCCATTTGACTGCTGCAAACTGGAGTGGTGGGACTTCCTTCACAGTCTCAGGACAGTGCGTGTTGTGGACAAGGGGCAGGTCACCTGCAACTACTCCTCTAACATTATTCATACAGTGAGACTGCCTGAGTCTGTGCTCCAGAGCTGCAGGTGGATGACAGTGAATATGGCTTTGCTGTACCTGGTGCTTACTCTCCCTGCCTGCCTGACCCTGCTAGTTGCCTTTGCTGTCATCTTCCTTACTTTCAAGCACAAGCTGCTTCAAATGGTGAAAAACCAGTACAGAGTGTCCAGCCCATACTGATCTCTGTGGGGAAAGGAGTAGGCTGTTGGCTCACAGAGTGCAGGCAGAGTAGTAACTCTGTGATCCCTGTGAGGGGCCGAGAGCAGAGTGAGCAGGGGTGCTTTGGAGGGAGTGGCCAGGATACTGGCTCTCTGATGTTCTCATTGCTGCATTTTGAGAGTGTCGCTTCCTGGTGCATGTTCTCCCTTTGCTCTGGGCAGGGGTAGGGCCTTCTGCTGGGAAGCACAATGGAGGCACTTGGAGTTTAATTCAGGGAGCACAGGGTTCAACATGGAGTCAGAAGGCAGGAGAATTAGTGATTGGAGTTTAAGACACTGAAAATGAGTAAATGGGAGAGAAATTCAGAAGGGAAAGGTGAGGATCATGATGAGGAAAGGGCAAATATTAAGAAAAACCAATGAGGCAGCTGCAAAGTGGACTCATTGGATGCCAGAGAGTGAGAGGCAGGAGAGATCTATCTCTGTTTGGGTACTTGTGGCACCTTAGAGACTAACCAATTTATTTGAGCATAAGCTTTCGTAAGCTACAGCTCACCTCTCAAATAAATTGGTTAGTCTCTAAGGTGCCACAAGTACTCCTTTTCTTTTTGCGAATACAGACTAACACGGCTGCTACTCTGAAATCTGTTTGCTAGAGGATGCTTCACTGGTGCCTAAGGAAAGGAGTTCAGGGTATATAAGTCCTGTGAAATATAAAGCAAATATGCATATGTATACACTATTAATATAAACCAATGAAGCTGCAGTTCTGAGTTAAGGGCTACAGGGATCTATTTTCTCCTAATTGGAAACATAAATTCCCATTCATGACAATTTACTTGAATTTATGTTGAAATTGAACAGTCTTAGCCAATCAGAGTGCGAGGATGTACAGTTGCTTTTCCCTCCCCACTGTCACCCTCAGACATTATACATTTATTCATCACCATAGTATCCAGGAGATATATGGTTTTCTGTTATACAAAAACTGTTTTACATTTATATAGTCACCTGAATGCTGATTAGCAGAAGGGGGGTTGGTTTGCATAAGGACTAATTAATTCTCAGTTGAGTAAATGAGAATATTGTATACGTATTATGTGCAAAATAGAATGTGCAGGTTAAGTGTGAGAGTGAAAATCCTCATATTTATTGCAGTGTGGTTTTTGCTCAACCAGTTTTTCAGAGTTAAATATCTACCCCATTTAAAATCCTTTGGTAGTCTTTGTAAATTAATGATCAAGGTTAAACTGCATAGATGACCCCCTTGCTAAACTTTATTTTTTAATCAACTCATTTTGAGCTGTATAATGTAAAAAAAAGTCCCCATCACCTTAATGATTAAACTTTGAAGTGCACACTTTAATTAATGTTTTTTGAGGGTGAGGCTTTATTAAAAGAAACAAACCCAGAAATGTTTTTCACTTGGATATGACTTAATATGTCAAATTTCAATCTGTGATTGTTGCAAATTTTCACCCCTTAAAAAAAGAAGGTCAAAGAGATTTGAAACTGGAACCTATATCCACAGCAACAATAACAGCAGTGAGAGAACACATCTATCATATTTATATTTTGGTCTCCATAGAAACAAGCACATGACAACTGAATGGAATTGGCAGCTGTTCTTGACTTACAAACACATACAAGTGATGATTAGATTTGTTTGTTAAGATGTGTAGAACAATACAGTTGAACATTTCTAGGCTATCCACTGTGATGTCATTAATTGTGTTTAAGTAGCTATCCCAATTAAAGAAGAGGCCATTTAAAAAAAACAGGTTGGGAATAATGTAAAATATTGAATGCAAGATACAAGAATAAATTATATTCACTTTATTTTTATTAACATTTTTCTTCTGTAAATTTTTATTTGGCAACTTCTATATTAAAACACAAGATAAAAATTGTAAGTGCAAGGAAGTGTTGGCTAAATCCTCATTTATCCAAAGAGTTAGTGTGGGTGTGGGATGGGAACCCTGGGGTGCAACCTGGAACTGTGTCCCCTTAACTCTCCAGCTTGGGTTGTCTCTCACAATACCATGCTAGTGAAAAGGAGCAAACCCCTCTGGGTGCTATTATTACTCAGCACAACAGCATGTGGATCCCCACACCCAGCTAGATTGCATGAATGCTCCCAAAGCCACTCATGAATCACGCAGAGAAATGCACCAGCCAATTCCCCCCAGTTCCCCAGCCTTGCACCCCAGAGCTGTACCATCTTGCCTGTGTCAGAAGCCTGACCAGCGTAAGTTTATTACCCAGTCTGCCCCCCTCACCATTTGTAAACTGAGTTGAGATTTCCCAAGCGCTTCAGCCAAAACACAGTTTTAGGTAAAATATAAAACAGATTTATTAACTACAGAGAGATAGATTTTAAATTATTATAACTGGTAGACATAAAAGATCAGACCACAATCTAAATCTTAAATCTTGTTACACTAGATAGTATTTAGATCAAGCAGTTTTCTCACCACACTGGACACACAGGCTTCTCTCTCAAGCCTGGGACCAGTCTCCTCAGTTGAAATCTTTGTCTTCCCAGTGTTCTTGTTGATTCCAGCACAGGTGCGGGAGGAGAAAGGCAGAAGCATGATGCTACTGTCCCCTGTTTTATATCCTCAGTCCATGTGCCTGGAAGACACTAGTCCAGGCATGCCTGGTTGGCCTTGCTGAGTCACAGGGTTGAACAATCCTGGTGTGCTCTTGTGCAACTGAGTCATAGAGTTGAACAGTTCCCTTTGTGTGGTGCTTGTGCAACTGTCATTGTATGGTAAATCCCTTGTTTACTATTCTCTTGCTGGTCAATGTCTGGTGACGATTGTTCAACACCCGCTTGAATGTTGGTCACTTCCTTTGTCATTGTCACTGGAGAACTAGCATTAGAGACTCTCAAACTTATAAGTTTCAGAGTAACTTATAAGATATTTCAGTAATAGCCATTCAGCAAAATCTCATAAATTCACACACACTAATGATATACATATTTGGACAGAACAATAAATTTCAGCAGATCATGACTTTTCATATGATATCTTTCATGGCATGCTTTGTATGAAATATATCATAACTATATGACAGGGGTGAATATGGGGATTCCAGGGTTTTGAGGTACAGAGGGTGAAAATGATCATGTTTATCTGGGCGTTATTGTAACTCACACTGGCTATTAAGTGCTCATCACCATAGTATCTAAGCACCTACGCATTCCCCACAGGCCACATTTCCTGGTCAGGGAGCGGTGTGAAGAGTGGCATGGTACTCGTCCCCTACATTAGGATGTTCTCAGCTCACTAAGTTGGTTCTGAAGCCACTTAGCTGTGCTGGAGCCATACAGGGACCATAGTGGGAGCCAGGATCTGGCCTAAAGCATTCTTGGTCAAGAGATTTGTCTGTGAAATGAACTTTCTGAGATTAGACTAATCCAGGGCCTCATCACATTCATGCTTATTGCAAGACTCTTCTCTTCCATAAATTTTTCCCTCTGTAACCAGTAAGGAGTGACTTTGGGGTGGGAAAGAGAGTAGGGAAGGGGCTGAAGAAGATAATTCCCTTCCACCAGAATTTTCCTTGCAAATCTAACTTGCCTAGGAAGTACTTAGATGGGCACTCTAATAAAACTATTAGATGGATAAGACAGGTAGGTAGGTAGACTGGTGACTAGATCTCGTGCAAGTCTGCAGAATAAGAAGAATCTATAAGGGTGCTTCTGACCTTAAGTCTTGTTTGCCAGAGAGATTGAAATAGGTACTTTTGAAGTCAAAACTGAACCTATTGGAAGAAGCGCCCATGAACTATGAAAACTGATGGTGCTCTGGGTTTTGTGGTTGAGAAATCTCTTACCACCCCAGCACATTTTCTCTTTCTTCAGACTTTATTTCTGTAATGCTGCTCAGATTTCTCTGGTGGAGTGTTGGTCTGAGATTTACTGACATTCCAAAATAATTGGCTCTTAGCGTGGCCTCAGTCGAATATCTGCCAGGTCAACACCAAAGAAGCTGCTGCAGCTGGCACAATTTAGAACAGGCCTGAGACTGCTCTACATGGTTCTGGGGGATAGAAAGAACCTATTTGGCCCTAGTGGTGGGGACCCATAAAGATGGCTTAGAGCCACCTTTGTTCCCTGCCCTCCCACCTCGACTGTGCCTAGAGGAGATCACCCACAACTGAGGACTGAGCACTTTATTTCTAGCTCTCATGTACTTTGTCCTTGATTTTGTAAATTGGATTGTACCAAAAGATGGTGAATGGAGATGCAGTCACTGATGTAGCAGGGCCATGCCCACGAATGGTTTTGAAGATGCGATAGGACCATGTCCTGGTGTTGGGACCAAGTAGAGAGATGAGGGCAGATGGCAGGTGTGGTCACAGTGGCTGCCCGATGAGGAGGTAGGCAGTCATGCTCTGCACAAGCCGGAGCCTGTGCACTGAGAAGCTGCTGTGAACGGGACTAGCCACTGAGATGGTGAAAGGTTGTTTGGCATCTTTGATGCAGGTCATGATGCAAGATGCATGCCTCTATTCAAACCACTGGCCTGGGAATGAAAGAGGGAAAGGGGAAAGAAATGGGGCCCAGAGCACTTGCTTTTTATTATAAAAGTGGGCAGAATAAGCACCGTGATCTGAGGGGACTGGTTCAATCCTAAGGAGGCATGGCGCTGATCCAGCAAAGCACTTAAGCTTGTGACCAGTCTTATTGAGGTCAATGGGACTACTCCCATTCTTAATTGATTTGCTGGATCAGGGTCCATAAGAGGAGGGACCAGTCTGTGCCTTTCCCTTCCATCTCTGGAAGAGGGAACAGAGAGTCAGGACTCCTGGGTTCTATTCCTGCCTTTGCCACTGAGTCTATGACACTTTGGAAAAGTTACTTACCCACTTGTACCTCAATTTACCTTTTTGTACAAAGGGGATACTAATACTTGCATACCTTCCAGGGGGCTGAATTCATCAGCTGGAAAATGCTTTGACATCTTCTGTTTAAAGGAGCTATTGACATACAAAGTGATTGTAAAAGGATTCTGATGTGCCTCATGTTATTTATGGACCTGATCCTCTGAGGTGCTCAGCATCTGCAGTTCCCATTGGTTCAGCATCTCTGGGGATCCGGCCCTATTGAAGGAAGCCCAGCAGTACTGATGAGCTAGAGCCCCACATGGCCAGGTGGTACTCTGGGACAAGGTGTCACATCAGCTGTTCAGCTCTGGTTTACCTTTCCTCCTTGTGCACATCTTTTCTTTCCTCTCTCTCTGGTGTGGGAAGGTGGGCCATTCTCTGAGTAGAACATGTACCGCTCCAGTTCCATGTGTGTCTGAGCTGCGCTGGTGTCGGAGCTAGGAGATGCTCTTCATACAGGGGAAACAAGTACTTGGAAAAAACTTGTTGCTATTTATATTTTAGACAGAAATAACTGAGACCAAGGTAAGTCCCGGGCTGGGGAAACCCTTGAGCAATTTCAGTTATTCTTTTGCCCGTAAGCAGTTCTCTAATGACACAAATTCAGAACAACAGGATAGAAGTGAGACGGTGATAGGCTATAAATATACACGCATCTGCAGACAATGTGGCACTACATGAGTACCATCCCCAGAGGTAGCTCGTGCTAGTTGAATCTTGTTTGTTTTTAATTCCTGTATTTTTTTCCATTCCTTTATTCCAGTGTCTTTGGTAGGTGGAAATAGCAGTCACTTCGGGGCTGTATCTGCAGCGTAGCTACTGAGCCATGGGAATGAGATGGTTACCGATGTCAGTGGGACGTAACGATGCACAGATGAATTGCCAAAATCAAATAAGATACAAAGAGCCACTCGGGGCAGGTCTCTGAGGAGGTTAGAGTGCCTGGGACAAACGGCCACTGCTCCAAGGCAATGGGGGTGTTTACAATGGGCTGGCGGACTGAGGGACGGTAGGGTCAGGGACTTGTAGGGCAGTGCCTCGCAAAGGAAGGCCAGCTACAAAGGGGTAGAAGACATGACTGGTAGCCTTCATAGGGAATGAGAATTGTATCCATTAACATCTCTCCTCTGTTATGGATTTATTCGCAGAAGAATTTAATTAGGAATCACTGCTTTAGATTTAACCCATTAGGGGCTTAATCCTATAGCTGCTGAGTGAGTGGCAAAGCTTCTGTTGGTTTTAGTGGTGCAGGATCAGGCCCTGTGAGCAGTGCTACAAGCACAGAATTTGAGACCCTATTGGCGCCCATCCAGGCCATTAGACTGGAGTGTACACTGAGCTTTTCTTACTACTTGAGGCCTCCCTGTGGTGGAGGTTTATAGACAGGAAAACCACATGCTAAGGGCTGGGCCCAGCTCTGTGTTCTCTGGTGTATGCACCCACACCCCGACTCTTCTACCTTGTGTCTTAGCCTTCTGCTTGTGCTGACACCATGGGCCAGGTCCCCGACGCTGCATGATGAACACGCAGTGCCAGTGGGGGGTTGGGTCGCAGTGTGCAATGCCCGCAGGGCATAGGTGCTGGAACTAGGGGTGCTTGAACTGGTTTCCATCGTATGCAGGGTTACAGTTGGTTCAGTGGCTCTCAGCACCTGCACTGGACACATTGTTCCACTGCACCTGCCCCAGGGTAAGTCAGAGCACTCGGAAGTTCTGTATGGCTGTGGAAAAATGTACTTGAGCTTGGCCAATGCTTTGTTGAATTATGGCTCCACATGTGTTTTTAGCAACGGAAACATGCTAATTGCATGCAGTTATCTCATGTTAGTCACATGATTGATCTATTTGCTCTAAGCTACTGTCTCCAGGACACTCTTAAAGCATGTCTCAAGGGATTAACATCAGTGAGCTGGTATCTCTTACACCAAGTGCTTTGCAGCACCTTCTGTCTGAGGATTTCAAGTAGCTTTACAAATGCTAAACTAAGTCTAAATGCAGCTCCTTTG